GTGTGTGTGTGCGCGCGTGTGTGCGTGGGTGTCTGAAAGATTGGTGTAAATTAGATATACATTTATGAATTTGGTGTAAAAATTGTTTTCCTTTTACTTCCTAGAACAATCTATGAATAAATTTCAAGTGTTGTGTGCAGCACAATCTGCCCTTAACACTGAGGCAGACTACAGATATTTCATACAGACCTTTGTAAGATCAACATACAGATGAAAGCACTTCAAAGAATGGAAGGGAGAGTGGGAGGTAGAGAGATCCAGGGGAAGCACTAAGTGTAACTGAAGTCTTTAGGATTTGGAATGAATAGTTTCTACAGCTTAGCGCATAGTCTTCTGCTAATGGTGTGGCTAGTTAAATTCTTAGATTGCTCCCTTTCTTTTCCTTTTGCTTTTCCTTTCTCTCCTTTCCCTTCCCTTTTGTGGCAAGAATCAAAGTTCGCAGCTGGACTTGGGTGAAGGATTCCTTGGGCGACAATTATGGAAAACTTTTTTAGCCTCCAAATACTGTGTTCTCAGGTGTACAGATTAAACCTTGGCAATTATCAACTTCTCTTTTTCTATTTCTTTCCTTTTAAAAAGAAAGTTTAAATAATTTTTCATAATTGGTATAGTTGTCTCATATGATCAAATGAAAACAAAAGAAAAAGGAAAAGAAGAAAAAAGCAAGGTATAATCTTCCTCTCCCACATTTTTTGTGTGTTTTCTGATCATTTTTTACCTCTTAATTATTATTATTATTGTTTTGTTTATTTTATTATTATTGTAAGTTTTGAATTTTACACCATTTATAAAGCTTTGTTTTATTTTCATTTTTATATATGTATGCCTTTTACTTTTGAGTATTTCACAAAGCCAGATACCATTGCAGTCGTGTTCTTATGTGCAAAACAGTTCTTTGTTTGGAGGCACATTTCTTTTATGTAATTATCCTTTTGTCTCCCCCCCCCTTTTTATGGAAATATAATTCTTGTAGTATGAAAATATTCTTCATTAGTGAAGGTGCTATGGAGTTCCAGCATTGGTGATCATAAAACTTTGGAGGCCTCTTAGGAACATATGGATATATTCCATGTTTAGTGGTGAGGGTCATGGATCCTTGCGCTAAAGGTTAGGTGTAAGCATTTGTAGCCTTAGCAGTGATATTGGAGGTGCGTGTGAATAAAGCATCTGCTAGACAAGTGTTTTCAGTATCCTTAATGTCCAGTCATACCTTGAGATTGATGTACGTAAACATTTCATTATAACACGTGTTGAAAAGATGTGAATGAAAATATTAACTCTACAGTGCAGGAAATGTAATGTAATCTGAATTTCTCACATTTTGTTAAAGATCTTGTATTGAAATGTGTGTTAGCATTTGTTTACTCTTTTGTTCATACCTGCACATGTGATGAACTGTAAAATATTCCATTAACAAAGAATTAATCTCCCTTTTTTATGCTTGATGCAAAGTTTTAGTTGTAATCCTTAATCCTTTATCTATAATATTTATTTAAAGTCTTTTTTTTAACGACTGTTAGTCTCATCAAATGAGAAATTTTATCTGAATGGGAATTCCTGCTATCCATTGTTTACAATTTGCAACATAAATTGAGAATGGCAGTGAAAGAAAAAGGTACAACCATGATCAGATGTGTAGTTAGTAGTGAAATACCGGTTAGCTCATGTAGTCCGGAACAGAGCAAAGCAGAATCTAAGGGCTTTAAAATTGTATACAGCTGAACTGCAGACCTTACGAATTCTGGTATGGTTTCATCCTTTTTCCCCACTGATACATTTGATGAAATTCTTGCAGGGCCTGAAACCAAGGGAAGCTTTCATATTGAAGTAAATGTTGCTGAAAAATAAGGTCTTTTTTTTCTTTTCTTTTCTTACTACAGGAAATCACAAAAATGAATCTACTATATACCCAGTGCATTCCAAATAGATCATGTTTAGGTGGAACTGAAAACTTTACATAGCTAAGATGAAGCAACTAGAAAAATTTAATTAGCTCAAAAGACATAACTATTTGAAGATGCAGTCACCTAATCCCAATTTCTGTTAACACTAAAGAAATGAATGAAAGGAACAACTGCCAGTTCTTTCTTAGATCAAACGTGCAGCTGAATACAAGCAGAATGCTGTGCCATCAGAATTTTTGTTTCTTAACATTTTAATAAGTTGTAATAGTAATGAAACTAAATTAGGGGATTTTATAAATGTATGAAAGACACTTGAGTACTAGATAACAATCCTTTTATTCAATTCTTAAAATTTTCAGTATTTCAAACTCAGTACAAAATAACACTTGATCAAGAATTCAAAATATATTAGCAGCACAACAGTGCCCCATGAAGAAACATACTATACCTGGACGTGAATCTAGAAAAATTTGCTAATACCCTCTCTCAGCATTCCTCTCTTGCCACATAAGGGTTCTTTACCTGAACTTAACCCATCACCCACAGGTACATGTATTGTCCACAGTAGATTTTTGTAAATTTTATTGTGCACAGATGGCTCCACAAGGACTCAATTAGTAGGCTCTTGTGAGCAAGCCTCATTCTTTTTCTCATGCTTTTTAATATCGTTGCTCTTATTGTTATTCTTGTCATAATTATTATAATGTGCTTTAAATAATAATAAAAATGGAAAGGGTAAAACACGTGAGATATGATTATCAACAGACTCCTTGGTGACTAAGCACTTGTGGAACAGTCTGTGTGTAAATACAAAAAATAAGCTAAAATTACAGTGAACATGGCATGCATGTCATGCCATCCACAGTTAGTATGTCAACTTTGAGATATTGTTATTTACTTTCCACCTGAATGTTTGCCATTTATTCCCTCAACCAGTGGGAGCAATCTGCTGAATGGCTGTGCTGTGAAGGACAGAATTGGGAAAATGATCTCTTTAGTGTTGCAGAGTCCCATCCATATCCTTTTCACCAGGAATGCAAGGCACCTCTTGAGTAAGGTGACAAACCTCTTTTGTGGTTTTGTGAGTCTGAATACTTGGTGTACATTCTAGTCTGAACACCCATTAGTCTCAGCCCTTGTTCATTGTTAGTGGCTCCCTGACAACAAATTTAACTATTCATTTAATCATCCTTGAATCTCCCACATAGTGCATACAGTGGTCTTGCCTTCTTCAGCATACTGTTAATCAGCTTTGGTCCACCATTAATTACTTAAAATTCGCCCTACAATGATGGGGCCAGATTTATATGTGAAGTAATGAATGGAAAAACACTAACATGTTGATACTATGGTAGAAAAATCCACAATGCACAAACTAGATTATTGAGGAAAGTGAGACAACAGTTTCGGACACCATCTAGCCTTTCTAGCTGGGCATTCACTGTTTACTCACTAAAGTGAGTCATGAAATGTATACACATTTCCCCATCATGAAGGATAGACTATATTCTTGCCTGTGAATAAAGGGTTAATAATGCATTTTACTGAAAATAGCAGGTTCTTCTGTCTGGGGATTGTCTTACTTATATTCTCTTCCCTTCTATTACTTGGCATGGGTGTTTTTCATTGAGGTCCTCATACAATGTGGCCCACTGAATAATATCCCTTCCTATGCTTGTACAATTCACAGGTCCCTAAAGGCTTGAATGACAGAAACATTCATGCAGACCATGCATTTCACAAAAGCAATCTTTGATTTCAAAGGTCAAAGCACTGCCTAATGGTAACTTTACTGGCTCCTGATATCTGTTATTAATTAATCTAGGTACTCTTGCATTGTATGTACCCTGAATAGCTTCCATAGCTAGATGTCCAAAGGTAATAATAAGCACTTGTAGCTTTGGTAACTGGACTACCTGTTTAGGAAAAAAAAAAATCTATGAACAGTTAACCAAATTATCACTAAAGAATTGTATATCCAAATATACTGAATTTTAGAGAGACTGTCATGATAATTTACCCACTGGTACCACATAATTGCATTGTCCTCTAAAATTTTACACATAACTCCACCAGGACTTTGTCACCAAGGAGTCAATTAGTAGGCCTACCTGAGCTCACCTGATATCCATATTTCTTGATTTATGGAAAAGTTTTAGTTCTTTGATGCTATCAATACCTTTATCATCATCGTTATTGACATTGTTATTATTACGCTACAGTCACCATTAATAGCAATAAAAAAATGATAAAAACATAAAATAAAAATCTCTGAAAATCACAGAAAAGGATAAACAGGTTAATTCAGTTAGAATTAGTACATAATAGATCCTTTAGTGACCAAGCTCATGGAGCCAGCAATGGGTATGCAAATTAATAAACTAAAATCACAGTGGACATCACATCCTGCCAACAATGGTTTAAAGTGCAAAATACTAGATTACCTTTGTCATTGTATACCTAAGGAAGATCATCTTGGACAAGTGCAATAAAGGTCTTTGTGCACACTTTATTCAGCTCTTGCTGAAAGAATAAATCCTCTTCTGGCAATTTCCAGCAAGGCTGTTTTGGCCTGCTGCAATTCTTTTTGTGCTGCTTGAGATTTTCAAGATGCAGTAGAACACGAGCTGAAATGGTGAATGCGGGAGCTAATAAAGTTATATAATATTTATTTCATGAATCATGCAAAAAGAGGTAACTAAATAAATGTTCTGGTTTCATATAAACTGCAAAGTTATTCAAGTAGAATAACTGATAGAAAATCTGTCCAAATTTTGTTCAAGGTAAAATAGTATCAGTCTACATTATTCTCTTTACATAAAGCACATTCTAGTTCAATATATGTAACCCATTTATTTGGTCGCATTACAAAGTATCAATGAAAACTTATCCCATAAACATAATATATGTACCAAAGCACCAAAGAGAAGATATTATGTTAATGTAGAATAAATCTGTTTGAAGAAAAGAAGGTAAAGGAATTATTACATCTGCTTGTCTATGTCTCTACAAATCTTACCTTTCTGGCATTGCAGTTTTACATGAACTCCAGATATGAAGGTCTGAAGACTGGAGTTATCTCTGAGCCTGTTTTACTCATGTACCTCCTTAATCTTGTTTCTTTACAAATAAAATTCTCCACCCCAAAAAAATCAGTTCTCATGTGGAGAATATTGTCCAAAAGAAATATAATGTATGTGCACTAATTTCAAAAATATATTTCAGACTGTTTACTTGGCTTTATTCCCTGTTACACTTTGAAAAAACATTTCTATTCACTAATGGATAATGGTAGAAAATGTATGTATGTATTCATATATTAAAAATATTCTGTATATGAGGATGGGAATTCACGAGGTTTCATGTCCGCTAAGTTTCTGTCTCATCCTCCAAAGTACTTGAAACAAAATTTATATTTCTTGATAAAATTTTTGATCTGTCCTTCCTTGATGAGACATCGTTTAAAGCACTCTTACTGTCTTTTGATTTCTTCTTTTCCGTACCTCTGTTGCTCGATGAGATTTCCAAGCCATTTTCACTCCATATCATCAACTTTTCATTTTTACCTTTCTCTCTTGGTTCTCTACTGCCTTCTTCATGTTGTGAGGGTTTTCTACCTGTGTTTGTAAGTGAAGCTTTTGTCTTGGTGCTTGCATGTATGTACAGTCTTTTATATGTATTTCTCTCCTTTTCTCTTGCTCCCTCTTTCTCTTTCCTCGCTCACTCTGATTTTTTTCTTTCCTTTCCTGAGCTTTGTTGGCTGCCAGTGCCCCTGTAAGGAAAGGAAAGGAAATTATCACAATCCCTGTTCCTGCTATTGTCACATACTTCTTAATTATCACTGTTATCCTCATCATCTATGATTTAATACCATTGGGAGAAGTTAATGCCTACTACAAATAATATAACTTATTCTACCAAACTACCATATTGATTTCACTTTCTACAGTATATAGTCATCATCATTATATTATTAATCATGAAAATACTTTCATCTGCTGAGATAAGACCAACCTAAAATTGTGTTATGAAGGAAAGTTTTATTTGTTGAAGGAAGTCTGTTTTTCAACCATCCCGATGGCCCACAGTTTCAGCCCTTTGTGCTCCTCTCTTCGCTTCTCGCAGCAAGGCCTCCTCTGCCAGCCTGTTGGGAAGAAAGCAAAAGCTATAACTTTAACTATACCTTTAATTTACATGACCATGAAATTTCTAAATATTAGAGCTAATAATAAGAAAATATTTTATCTTCTATATAACACTGCATATAGGAAAATTAGAAGTAATTCTAACTTGGCAAATTACAAATATGATATTACTATTGTTCATGTTCATTTTTCAGGGTGATCCTAGTCTTGTGCCATTTAATCCAGTTTAGCTAAGCCTAGCTTGTCTTGCCTAACCCAGCCCTCCCCTGCCCTGAAACAAAATTAAGGAATAACTGCTAGGAAGAATGCTATATACATTTAAAAAATGATAATAAAGAAATAGCAGGCAAACATATGTTTTTTCTCAGTAATGCTAAATTACTGACATATGATCATATCTATCCACTGAATTTAGGCATATACCTTCTTGAATATTGTATTTTCTACTTTATTTTTATTTCTACAGAGGCTGCAAAAAAGTTACAGCAAAATTTGGCTATGGGCTTGGGTGACTCGAATTTGCTGCCATTAGCATTTTAGCTGAAGACCATGGTGATAGGAAAGACCCATTTAATATGCACAAACTTCTTGAAGAGTGATCAGATTTATTTGGCATTTTGAAAGGGGGTTTTGCATTATTTCCATCAATAAACAAGTGTGGAATGTAAAGTCTGTTAGCCGTGACTGGACCAGGGATGACCATGAACATGACCAGCTCCAGGAGGCCACTATTTCCATGTTCTGGAACCTATTCCTGCCTGCCATGACTGGTGTATTACAGAAAATTGACTATTATGAAAAAAATTAAAAACTGACACATAAAACAAAATGTTACTTATTGTTATCATTATTGCACTGAGTTATAGACTACCTAAGAGAGATAATATGGAGTCAGTGCAAGGAAAACAGTCTATCACCATCTGGATAAAGTAAATCAAATGACAAATATAGACATTTGAAAATGAAAAAAAAAAACTTTGCAAAGGGAGGCATGGAACTTTTCACTAGACACGAGTGTTTGTTGATCCTGGCCTACAAGCCGCACATCTGGAAGAGTGTCCACTCACTAAAGCCTAATGCCCACATTTTAGGCGACATGATGGAAGTGAAGCATCTGGATCAAACAGGTTAAAGAATACAAGAGACAACAATAATGACAATATTAAGCAATCTTCAGAAGATGAAGGTAAGCCCACAATCATTATCAAAGCTACACCCACTGTGCATCTATCATTCCCCACATTTACCATGACCTATTTTCTTTATTACTGGCATTATAATTTACCTTACCAGATTATTTCATATATCAATGAATGTAGATTTTCCATTTATTCATGATAGTGTCATTAGATTTTCCTGTAAATGCATACCAAAGTATTTGGTAATTTACTGAATACCTTCACATAACCGATCATGACAATTTTGATATTGGTGGATTCCTCTCACCCTATAGTACCTACACATGTAACTAGGGAACCCCAAACCCCCACATTCTTGTCCTGATAGCTGGGAGTTTTACCCTCTATCTCCCGTCTAGGAAGACAAAGAATCTTCCATGCATTCCAGGCAGGACCCTGGTACCTTCCATGCCCTCCCTACTATCAGGGCCAAGATTGTCACTAGTACGGGGGTATCTAAAGCATAATATGATATACTTCTATAATAGAATACGAGAGGAATCCATTGATACCAAAATAACCTCATTATCAATTTTAAAAATATCCCATTGACTCACTTAGATAACTCGTCGTCTGTCGGCATCGTTCCTCTCCCGTGTTGATTTAACTTGTGAATAAAAAACACAGAAATATTGTCAACTGTGTGAGTAAAACTGCAACCAGCTCTTCTTTCTCCTTTTATAGGATTTTAGACTTTTGTGTAGTCTATATCCCCTGCGCCCAGCTCTCTCTCCTCTCTCGGTTTGTTTACATCGATAAATAGCGAAAACCGCTAATGCTGAGCATATTTTCGCTATGCTAGCGAGTTCGTCTAGCAATGACTGCTACGGAGCGAATGGATATTGAGGCAGGCATTGTCCACGTGGCTTACTAGCTGAGATTTTGGGAAACAATACACGACAGAGGAGCAGAATATATCACTTAAGTCATTAAATTAAAACAATTTGTATATCAGACTCATGGAAAACATTAACGAACACTCAGGTAATGAATAATTGTCTCATTGTATAGTGGTTATTTATTCTGGGATCCAAGTTTCACTCTTGCGTCTAAATCCATATGACTGGTAAAATCAGAAAATACATGGATATGAAGATAAATCGTTGAATGACTACATTATTCGAGGTATACTGAGCATACAGATAGTCAACCCAGATTCAAGTAACGAACAGATAAAAAAATATCGTATAAAGCAATTATATCAATAAGAAAATTGCAACACTTGAGAATCACTCAGCCAGTTTAAATGGCTGGGTTGGTTGTCCTTGTAAAAGCAAACTTTTACTTAGTACATTCTTGCCGTGCCATTTACTAGTTTCATTGATGTCGTCCACATGTCCTTCGATCCAAGGTCCATAAAAGTACTTATTTAGACCTTGCTTCGACCAGTGTCCTGAGTGAGAGATTACAACGAATACTCAAAAGAACTCAAATCTACGACAGCATATTGTATACTCGGAGCATATATGAAACAATGCCTTATATTTACTACACTGCAGAAGTAATGAATAGGACTGTCCTCTCTCGTGTAAATTATTTAAGACTGATAAAGCATGACACTTCAACTACCTTCACATGAAATAGGATAAGGTACCGAATTTTTTTACACTATCAGGGTCAGATGTAGAATCATCCTTTTGTCCAAACAATATCTGTACCTTGGCAACCCAGGGGAGAAATACTTTTCCTATGGAACTTCATAATAATTTATTGTACCATGTTCACCAGTGCGCTTGCTGCCAATGTATGCCACGACTGTCAGGTTAGGAAGTATACGTAAGGGAAAGGGTTCCTAACCTTGGGGCCATGGCAAGTGGGCCACGAGGTACTTTCTGGAACAATATGAAAATTATGAATTCAACGAATCTTATTGAATTTGAAGTGTTCTTGTCCTATAGATATTGACACGCTTACACTATCCACAAGTAATAGTTGAATTTGAAAAGATAACAGACGCAGAACAGGTCCATGGAGACTATTACATATTGGTCGGGAGTCACGGGAAGAGGCGAAGACAGCCAGATTTACATATAAACTAAATATGAAGTTATAATTTAGGGCCTCAAATTTCAAAGGACCCCATACTTTGACGATCTTTTGAAAATCACTGTGTATTGCATTTATGCGTTATTAATCTGAGCAGTTAAATTAAAGATCTTCACATTTCTAAGTTCTATTGGATCTTTTTCATTTTACAAGGGACACCCAAGTCCATATCCGGACTAGGTTGGAGGTAAGAGACAGAGGTATTCTTATTTAGTAATGAGGGGAGGGGCTATCAGCACAATCATTCTACGATGGGCGAGTTAAGCTTATAAGTACCTGCCTTTCCTTAAAACGGAGCACAAAATTTGTACTCAGCGCCAAGCTACACATACTTCAGCTCCTTAAATTAGATGGAAACCGGTAGTTTTTTAACCTTGGAGTGTATGCGATGGACAAGGAGGGTAAGTGGATGGGCTGATGGATAGAAGGCTGGATGGATAGTTAAGAAGTTAAAGAAAAGTGGTTTGTTTTTTCTAAGAATAATAAAATTACAGCAATCAGTAATTGTGTGATCCATTTAGCCGCCATTACTGACGTTTCCAGGGGTGTACCACGAGGAGGCGGATCACATCTACACCCTTTTATGTCCCTCCATTTATTTTAATTATTTATCTAATTCTTATTTACTATTATTTTTTAAGGAACTGGGGATCTTTATTTCAAGATTCGGCATCATCAGTTTCATCGCTACTGGAGTCCGAATCAGTCACCTCATTAGAAAATGTCTCGTACATGTGTTCAAAGGCATGGTCTTTTTTGCTGTATTCGTCTTGAAGCTCCTGCGTTTTTGTTGTACGTATTTTCTTCCAGTCTTCAGGAGTTACATGAGTAATGGCTGCAATATAAGGAGTCCAAGTTTGTTGAAATATTGCACTTCTCCGAATCCTTCTTGACTTCGTCTTTGATCTGAACCCAAACCGATTCAATGGGATTAAACTCGCTATGATACTGGGGGATTCGGAGAACCTTGTGTCCAGCAGCAGCAGCGAGTTCGTCAGCCACATAGCGATGCTTATCTTCCTTGTGCAGCTTTACCAGCTGGAAAAGTTCAGCTTTGGTGTGAGACGAATCGTGGGGAATGGAGTTATCTGTTAGCCACTTGACGATTTCCTCTTTTCCCGATTTGACTGAAGGGGTTTTATTGTGCTCCATGTTGTTGATACGGAGCGTTGTCCATAATGATGAGTGATCTGGGAGGGATGTTCGGCAGCAGCTGCCACTGAAACCATCTCTTGAATGCTTGACTGTCCCATCGTATCGCTGTAATCCCCTCCTTCCCATCTTGGATTTGAACACGAACATAGCACCCTTTACAAAGCTTCAGAACTCCTGCGTGGATAATTATGTAGTCCCACCCCTCAAGCATCTCGTGCGAGCTCCCACTATTCCTTTTGTTGGTCCAGTCCTGGTCAGCGTTCATATTCTGATTAATCCAGGTCTCATCAAGGTAAATTTCTGGCTGGGGCTTTCCGCTGCTTCGGTTGGTCCTCAGCTCCCTTATGAATTTGCTTCTGGCAGCTACGACGGTTGCCGTTCCACCAGCATAGCACAGTTTCTTGTAAAATTTCTTATACCTAAACCCCATGTGTTGCATCAATCGCCACAGACTCGATCTACTTCCTTTGAAGTTCAGGGGCGGTTCCTTCACCGTTTCCATAAGCGAAGTGAGCGTTGGCATGTCTCCCCTTTCATATATGGCAAGGATTGCCCTTCGCAAAGCATCCTTGTCCAGTCGCCGATCGTCGTGCGTTTGGGAGCACGTCTCTGGGGCAAGACCGGGGCTGGATTCTGCACGGAGTCTCCTCTTGGCTTGAGCTCTTAACTTCAGAATCACCGTCTCCGAAACCTGCGTTGCCTCGGAGGTTTTCTTAGCCGCATCTTGGACGGACTCACATGCATCCTTATTAAAATACTCAAATACGTTCAAGACAAGTTCCTTGGATTGGCCGACGAGCGCAGAAGCACCAAGACGCTTGACCGGGTGTGTGGAGGACGCCATTGCTTCAGCAGACCGACTTGCGTTCGACAGGGGAGGAGGTTGGGCGGGGCTTGCATCTGGCGCCAATTTCGAAATGTTTATTAATGACGATCTTTTCGAAATTTGCTTTGGTTGAAGTTATAAAGTGATGTAATTACCTAAGGCTCTGAAAATGTTTACACAACTTTTGAAGTTATAATGGTAAAGACGTCTCAACCATGTACCAAAGTGTGACGCGAACCTAAAGTGCTGCAAGTTTTGGCGCCTGAACGCTCCCTGAGTGTTTCTGACTTGTCAAATGCGGGTTCTTTGCATTTTTATTCGAATATTCTGTTGCTCTCTTGTTTTTGATGGATTTTATTGCATATAATTATGTATAATAAACTCGACTATCCTTTTATATTGCATTATTTATTTATATATAAAGAAATTATTCATAAGTGACATAAGAAATAAAATTATGTACATATCTGGCAACTATACGCTTCTCACACCTTTCCCATCGATCTTATGTCTGATAATTTTTGTTAATCTTGAATTATATAATCGCATATTGTGTGACTGTCAATAGAATCCTACCAGAACAATACATAGAATATATGATATAAGGGAAATTTACTATAACAAGAAGTTGTCTCACATTTATCTAAAGACTTTTTGTTATTATTACTATTATCAGTATCAATATTACTTATGCTGTTGTTATCGTTGTTGTTTTATTATTGTTATTATCATTATTATTATTTTATTATTATTATT